ATTCCACCCAAACTGTGAAATTACCCGAGTTAATTATTATCCTCCTAGTCATGCCCTTCGTCAGACGGAGCTGGCTGGGGGGGGGGGATGAACTCAAATCATTAGGTGTATTACTCGAACTTTAGAGAATGGTGAATAAGGGTCATGTTAGAATTGGGAATTTTACTGCATGACTGTGTGCATTTTTTTCTATCAAATTAATTTACCGGGTTTTTGTATTTGATAAAGCGGTTTTGTGATGAGAAGGGCCGATTTGAGGTGATTCGGGATTATCCACTCGCAATTCTGTTTTTTTTTATGTCTCCTGCAGGGCTGCTTTGGTCGCGTGGATTCTTTGCTGGCCTACATGCCTCCGAAAGAACTTCAAGAATTATTCATTGTATTCATTACCGCTCAGGTAAGCTTGTCAAATGAGCCGCAACATGTCCCTTTTCCAAAGTTTGTAGTTTTAATTTAAAAAGAAACAAATTGCATATGCACCTCATCGTAGCATACGGGTGTTCAGTTCGCCAATCGCTAGGCTATTACTGACCAACGAGAGCATTTATCATGCTTCAGTCCTGTTCATCAAGGTGGGAACAATTACCGTTTGACAGTTTCGTCGCAATTGTTTATTTGCATCGAATCTAAAACCAGATGCCACACACCCAGACTATGCTGAGTGGAATTCAGGCTTCTTTTTAATGATGATACTCAGATAAACGATCTATATGTATTCGGTCACCGCATCCCGGAACCATCGATTTGGAAGATTTCCTCGAACTTAACCGGTCACCATTGATGCAACATATAAGATGGCCTTGATAATTCACGCCACCGTGATTGTTAAACAAATCGTTTTGTCCGTTTCTTTATAGGAATCAGTACACGATCGGAACTGACAGACACTGTGGCTCGGGATCCGAGCCGGAGGAGTTGAGATCTGTGATCATCCACAAGTGTGCAACCCGATTCGCACGGTTGACTCAGGTCGGACATCATCTGATTCGAGTACAGATTGCGTTTCTTACAAAAGACTGGTTGTCAGTGTAGGCTGAATAAGACACGCATTTGACCTCTCGTTAGCATAATCACAGGCGTTGCCAACTAAAGTGATTGCGTAACAAATCCAAGGGTTAATAAGACGAAATCATACATACGTATATTACTAACTGTGAATTGCGAAAAATCCAGTTGGTATGATAAATGTAACGCTCAGTGATTGGCTGGGAAATTGTTTTCAATCAAAAAACGATGCAAACCAAATCGGTAGTTCTATTCACCAAGTCGTCCGCCACCGTCCAGTGCGTGTGCAGACGCAGTGCCAAAGACCTGGTACCTCATGCAGTGCTGTTCAGATCGAACATAACGTTGAGAACTAGTTTGAATAGAATGCGCTTTTCCAGCGAGAGTTTGGGCAACCACTTTTCGTCAAGAATGAGGCAGATTTGCCCAGTCGCGTGTATGGACGGTGAAAATGGACACAGCTGTGCAATCCTTCCAAAACATCTTTGGATGGGTCAGCTCGTTTTGTTTGAGTGTTGCGCTCGCAGAGATTAGGTTTCGAAAACTTCAATGTTTCCTAAACCGAACATAGATACAACTATAATTTGAAATAATCTACTTCTCTAAAACGAATGCGACAGGGTGTGTGCTATGAAAGAAGCAAATGGAGGCAAAATATCGGAGATCAGACCTGTAAATCGATGCCTAATTGTTACCGGTAAATGTATCGGAATTTTCTGTTCGCTCGAGTTGATGACTGTAATTGCACCAATAATTTGAAAATGACGACTTAAGTACCGGCCAAAGAAATGACAAAAGTGTACCATCCCCCCTCCGAGATAATTACGATTTTCTTACGTTATTTCACAGCATTGTCGTTCTACAATGACGCAATCGGCTGCCCAGTGCGGTATATGTCAAGATTTACATGTTCTAAGTAGACAAAATATTGTATAAAGGGTTCTCTAAGCTGGGGTAAACTGAATTCTATTGCGCCTGTTCGCCGAGTTTGGTAATTTGTTTACAAACGTTTGCGCATCACCAGCCGAAGTGACATCATCACTGCTTGTGAAGAGGCAGTATTCTGCTTGTACCCGTTCGTTTATATATGTGTTCTTCTCCACCGACTATTTTCATCTTCTGTTCTCACTGTGTTCCACTTGGTTCGCCGTTGAACTGGTGCTAGGGGGAGGAGGTTGTCCCTTCGTCGTGATTGCGGTTTCGGACCGNCATTTGATCCTTGAGTTGCATTAGCGTGTATACCTGATCCAATTAGATGTGCCTGTTGGTTGAAGAGTGCCAGGCCACGAGAAAGTCTCTACCGTGTTTTGACCAGGCTTGGTCGATAATTCTCACTGACTCAAATTCAAATTTATGTCCTTCTTGATCTTCGTGGAGGAAAATCAACGATAGTGGGTCATGTCTCCTGACAGCCGATTGGTGTTCACGGATCCTTGTTGACAGTTTTCTCCCAGTTTTTTCGATACAGGGTCTTAAAAAGTTCTTGCAGTTTATTTTGTAGATGACGCTTCTCTTGTCCTTCTCCATTGCTCTCTCCTTGGGTTTTGACAGAAGTCCCCTCATACAGGCGATCGATTTGTGAGCGACTTGGATTCCATATGATCTGAGTAGCCTTGCTGTCATTTCCTAAACGTCCTTGATGTACGGCAGGGTCGTTCTGGTTCTCGATTATCCGTCTGTTGTTTCCTTCATTCTTTTGATGAAGTCACGGGGGTAGCCATTGCGAGCAAACACTTTGAGGTTTCTTTCTTCTTGAATATGTCGGTGCTGCAGTGCGTTTGGATTCTTCCGAACAGGGTTCTAACACAGTATCTTTTGTGACTGTGGGGATGATTAGTTTTGAAGTTTAGGATTTGATCTGGATGTGTTGCGTTGCGGTAAACCGTTATCTCCAGTTTTCCTGATGGAGTTCTGATGATTAAGATGTCCAAAAAAGCCAGTTGTTTATCCTTATGTTTCCATTATGAACTTGATGTTCTAAGCAGATAATCACATAAATCTCATTGATACATTCTGATCGACCCAAACTGTCTGCGGTGTCTGATCTGACCTCTGGGCTATTCCAGTATCGTATCCCTATGGAGGGTATTCTCAACCTCTTTGATCTCCAGTACTTACATCAACTGCCGCAATCCATGAAACTAATTTGCATGCGGTATAAACCATATGAGATATTTGAGACACGAGACGTACAGTACGCCATAACAAGGAATCCCCTAATGTGTGATGTAATGGCCGTTGATGAACTCTGTTCAAAGACCAGGTAATTTCAGGCTGAATACACGCAAGTCCAATGGCAAACGACCAGTAGCCGTGAATCGACACATTACCGTCTCACAGTCAGCCTCTGATTGAGGAAAGCCTAAAGGTGTGTCCTCGAAAACGTCTAACATTACAAGATCCCAGAACAGTTCATGATCTTGATAAGGCCGGTTAAGATAAAGTAAAGTAAGTCTTGGGTCCAGTGTGACTTGCTACGAAACATTATCAGATTAGCATGACGACCGAATCCGTGTGATTTGATTCCTAAAAGTTTGAATTTCTCTCTTGTTTCATTTTCTCTGTCCAGGTTGCTAGCATTATCGTGTTCATTATCTATCGATGCATGAAACGTCAACAATTGATGATGTACTTGAAGAAAAGTGACCTGGAAAATCACTACATGCCTTCAGCTGCACTGACACTCAGACCGCGTAGAGGCGATATTCCATGATGAACGCCAGTTCATCCGAACCGGAGAGATGCAGTTGTCTGGGAGCACTGATTGAATCGATAGGACAAGATCTAAACCACACCACTGCATATGCGTGATTCGTTCGGTACCGTTTTCCGATTCATCTTGTTCTAGATTTCTCCGTTCACCACTGACTTACGAACTCGCTCGATTGTAATATTCTCTCTCTCTCTCTCTCTGATCTCTACCCTCCCGAATCTGTGACTCATTTGAACCCCTACACGAAATTGACCTCCTCTAGACCAGACGACATTTTGAAGTATAATAACTTTCATCTTTTCAATTGATCAACAACACCCGAATGTCATCAGTCTACCGATCAAATCATGTTTCTTACACACGCACATGTGCATATACGTTCTTTTTTTCGCGATCATACTGCTCTAGTGGTTGCATCACCCGATCTACCCTCTCTGCTCACAGTCAATATATGGGAACGCAGCCCACCGCTTAGAACTTCCATCGTGATATTCCGGTTTATAATTTCAGGGTGGGCGCTAACCACGCAACAACCGGGTGATCTATGCACGTTAGGAAACCTTGTGGGAGTATTTTTGCGTTTACAAAGATGGGTTGTACCATATCGTGTAAATGGAAAACGAAAAACGGTCTGATCAGCTGCCCGATGGCCGAGTGGGTAGCATGGATGCGTTCTACCCATGAGGTTACGGGTTCGATGGATTCGCACTGCTGATGGGGCCCATCATGGTGGAAACAGCTGCCCAGTGCTTCCTAGCTTTTCAGTTCACGCTTTATTTGCTATATACACCATGAATTCGCCTTCGAAATCGAATCAAATCCTCCATTACTTACATGAAAAAGTAGGAAAACCATTTATCGTTCTAATATTGTCTGTGTTGAGACCGGGCGTAGTTACAAAACGTTGATTTATGGTCATGCTCTCTGACTGTCTGTCCGTCCGTCCTTCATGTGTAATCGATAGGACATTCGTTGTAGTTACTTTTCTCTGGCACTTAATTTGGTTTTGGTGCTTTCATTCGGTACGGTGTCTACACGGAAGAGAAATACTGAATCTACTACCTGAGACCTTTTTATGCTCACCTTAAGTGTTTGCCCAGTCTGTAAGGAAGGCAAAGCGATGATCAAGCTAGGATTACCTTGTGTTTCACCGGGTCAGGAGGCCCGGGAGAATTACAATTATGCCCGCTCCTCTCACTTCTGTCGGGTGGAGCCCCGCACAATTGTTGTATCAGTATCCCGGGGGAGGGGCCCGAACATTCGCTAGTACAAGACACTGCATCAAAAGTTGAAAGTTTGTACTCTGTAAAGGCTGCGATTCAGTCCGTTTGTACAACTATTAACCATGCGCCGGTTACGGTCGGTCTTTCGGATGCAGCAGTAGGAGACGGATAAGAAAGTTGAAGGAGCATAACTGAAGAGGATATGGAAAATTTCAGTGGACTAAGGTTGCTAACCAATTGAGACTACGTACGAGCGGCACTGTTTGCGACACTAAGCTATATAATTTGGTCTCTGTAGGCATTAGTTACAGTGATCTCGAGGTCCCTATCCAGTAAGCTTAGCCCGACCTAAATGAACGAGTTTCCTTGTTAGGGTTTTCATAACCTCGTGCCAAGCCTGAGTTTGAACCCCCTCGACTTTTTCTACCTGCGTTGGCAAACATCGTCTACCATGGGAATCGATTCGGTGACATGCGTAACGCACGCTCAAACTAACGTAATCTATGGAGGTTGACTACTTACTCCACTGAACGACCGTGTTTACTTAAAATTCTGCGCGTAACCCCAGCATTGCTCATCCGGTTGCCCCACGGGTTGTGCCATCTGACGAATTTCAGAACGACTTAGTTTGACCTAACCCTTCGCATTATTAGTCAAATCTAGTGAGCCGGTTACTGAATTTTATTCTGCATGTGCGTCGCAAACACAATCGTGATATGTCCCAGGTACATGCTATCGATGAATGAGCCAGAAGTGCATGGTGGATCCGATTCAACATAACGTGAAAATACTGGAATGGCTTTTATTCTCGTTATTATCACACACCCTCGTGTGATGAACAGCAGACGAGGTAAACCCATAGTCACGAAGAGCTGCTTTACGGTGATTGAAACCGGTAACCCAAACACCGGGACTTGGAGTGATGAACCACGAAGGTCCCGCGAGGTTAGGAGTAGTATTGTGCCGAACGACAGTGAAGCTGACTGCCATCCAAGTTGAGTAGTGGTGGCAGGGATCTAACCTTGTACCACTGGGTCGAGAGCTCGCCTGTGATAAAAGACGGAAGGCTATATAGGCAAAAGTACATATAAACACCTTGCGCTGTACATCCTTTGTCTTTTACCCTTTAGGTGTTGTCGAGGGCAGATATTATGCCATGTCTCCTGTACAATGTCTTCTGATTGAGGAATTCATTGGTTATGTAAGACGACCCAGTGACTAAGCAGTAAACCGAACACGAACCTTAAATCGATGAGGCTCTCAATTGTTAAATTTCTTTCACTAGAGCTGGGGAAGAGTGAGGAAAAACTGAACCTGATCCTTGTCCCGTTTGCTTCTGTGTGCCGTTCCTTAATATGAAGCGTTCGTTTTGGAGCCGAAGTATTTTATTTTATTACCGAATCACAAGTTTCCGAAATCCACTGAGTGGAACTCATGTCGGAATAGCTTGTTTAAGAATTATTAGGTACTGGGTAGTTCGCATGAAGAGTTTAGAATAACGGTGCCACTCCCCTCCCCCCCAGCAGGAGCGGGGGGATAATTGATGAATCAAATGATTTAATTGCAGACAAAACGCATGCAGAACATGAACAAACAAGGAGCAAAATCCACGCAGTGGGCCTCAAAACAACTCGTAGTATTTGGTACCAATTAATGTTTACAAATTATTTGTAAAGAAGGGTACCTGTAAGATCAATAATTGCTCAAGGCTATCTTGGAAAAGAAGGCAAGAAGTATTTTATACGGGATCACTTTGGGCTGGCATGCACAACTAACTGGCTGCGGTACAGACACAGAGATTCGTTTTTGTCGGTTGAACTACGTAGTTCTCTCGTGCCGATGCGTATCAGTCAGTCAACACGCGCAGCTCAAGCTATATTACTGCTTTTTGCTCTCAATAAAGCTCAGCTCCGAGCTATTTCGGGCGTATTCGACAAAATCTCGTAGAGTAGAATCGACGATAAGTGTGTGGCATTATTATCAAAGAAAGCTAAATTAATGCTTACGATTGGTGACTGTTCTGCGCATGGTGGACATCAAGAAGTTTGTGACACAGTTCCTATCGCCTGCATTACCATAAGTATGTATTTTCTCAGGTTGTGCTAACTGTTAATTATGTCCACTTAGTTTATATGATTCCCGAGATTTTAAATAATCGTTTAACGTACAGAGATATAGCTCATTTAGAATAAATGAGTAGTTTGTATAGAATCAATCGAGATTTGATTGGAGAACAGTTTGACTGAGAAGAACGCATGCTGATAGACAAAATTGATTGGGAATAAACCCCATATAATTATGGGGAATGGCACTGGATGGTGAAAGAGAAAATACAGCAGACACGCGGGTAGAGTACAACTGTGCGCTACGAGTCGCCTGGATCATCGTCAGACGAGGAGTCCTCTTCCAGATCTGACGAGCAGCTGTGCTCGCCTTTGTTCACACGAAGCCTGCCGAGTTGCGCACCGATATCCCCTGGTGATCGGGAACCGCGTGACACGTAGTCCTCCGACTCGCTGGTCACCGACTCACGCTCGTCAGTTGGCCCGCCGATTCCTTTGGCAGCACAACGAAGAAGAGTGCCTATAAATGAAATAGGTCTTTGAATAAGATCAACTGTGAGGGTTTGTGGCTGCAAATTGAAAAAAAGGATTGGCCGGGAAATAAAATTTGCTTAACATTTCGATGGTGGGTTGTTCTCTACGTTTTTTTGTTTGTTTGTTTATTCTCGGTACATCGTTCAATCAAACCAGGTATTTGGATTGTGGTTTTTATTGTTCTGCTACTATCCATTAGGATAACTCTATCGATAGACCGTAAAACAGTTCCATTGGGAAAAATAATCGCTTTGGTATATCATCGCTTCACACATTTACATGCACAATTCGATGACCTCCGAGGGTGTAGGGTGAATGTGTGCAAACTGTGCGGTTGAGTTTATAGGGGAAATGTGTGAAATGCGTGCGATCAGCGAAGTGCTATTCAAAAGTGAACAACAAAGTCAATAAACAAGATAGGTAGAAATTTGATGAAAAGCTATTTACAGTGAACTATGAGGGCAATCACTTTAATCCCAATGTGGCAGTTGCCTTTGAACAGGGTTACGTTACCAGGTAAAGTGTGATAGATTCATTCGCACTTATCAGGAACCAAAACCTCTCGCACAGAACTGCGCACATTCATGATGAATTCAAATTGTTGTTGATGCATTGTACTGCTGTTGGAGACGGGATAATTTATTTGCCAATACATAATTGTAAATAGCAGCCGGATCGGAATACCGGTGGCCAAATCGAAAGAACTAATATTAAGATGTATTTGAAACGTACAGTTTGTGTACAATCAAAATTACAATTGACAGAACGATGGTGAGATTGCCCTTTGGGTCACTCCTAGTAGAGATAGCCAAGCTTAAAAGTATACCATCTAAAGACAAAAACGATAGAAGTATAAAAAGATGAATTACTCCCACTTCGGGACTTTGGGCTCCACCAAGTGGTGGACGGGTAAATCGTAAGCGTGTGCATGGTTAAGGCAGCACATACGTCCTCAGAGTTTCATCCCATGAATAACATATAATTTGTCGTCCGGAGATCCTGGATACCGATCTGACCCACACAAGAGACATCCTCGGGAGAAGTAGATAGCCAAGAAGCATTCATTCGATGACACGTAAAATTGAAAACAAGCGACCTGAACGCAGAGATAGCTAGAAAGGTGTCCATGAAGGCTTCAGTCATGTGGAATATTGCCTATCAAAAGCAGCTGGACGGTGGTGGTCAAGCGATCAACCTCAACAAAACAGTGACCCGAAAGTCCCGGGTTCGAACCAATATAACACTGTCCGTCTTCCCCATTATTTTATTTTCTCTCAGCTTCCTTCCTGGAAATGGACTGTACATTTGTATATTTAATAAATAAAAAAGAAGTAAAGAAAACATGACATTTTGACTGCTAACTGTTTTGATAGTTAGGTGTAAGACCCAGCCACTCGGAGTTCAACAGCCTAAGGACAAACTGTGCCATCAATCGCAATAATTTGTTCTACATCAGTTCATGTGCACTTGTAATGTTCTTTACACCGAACGCACAGCGAATCCTTCGTCAAAAAGTATATCTGAACATAGTCCAGCTGCTCTTCGAAAAATAGAACAGTGAGGAACTTGAACAGCTCATTCCGTAAACGTAGCCACGACGTATGTCGCCTCGTGACTGTGGGGTCCAAATCATCTGCTATTCACTAAACACAATCTGTGTGCAAAAAACAATTAGGAAAACCTGCTTGACAGTGGACGCAAGCGTTTGTAAGTTCTGTCACCTCGCCCACGAATAACATCAAAGATCAGGCAAGAAAATACTGACAACTGCGCAATCCATAGCGGTGGGGATTATTATGAAGCAAACCTAGCTCGAGCACTGCTGTTACCAAAGGCATACAAGTGATTGCCCGGTAAATATCTCTTTCATTTTCTATCGCTCTGGTTTACTGACTTTCACATCAGTTTTACTCGACTAACCAGATACAGTTCACATGTTTTTTTCACTCTGCTTTTCTTCATTCACTTCTTATGACCTCATGCCATCTTGTCAACCGAACATTGTACACACACACACACAAATACATTCATGCAATACCAGCTTGCGCTTTTCTGTAATTCATTTAATAACACATCATTTAATACACAAATGCCCGAAGCGAAATAGCGAAAAGGATTTTTTGTCTCTTTTACTTTGTTTCAGTGACACTTGTGATCTATTTTCACAAAATATCATATTGTGAAACTGTCATCAGATCCAGTAGACAGAACGCTAAACTGATAACAGCGGTGGATCAATTGATGCGCATTTCGCAAATGTCCCTGGATCGCTACAACTAAATCGGCAGTCGAATTGCTGAATATGTTACTTGGCTTTTGGAAGTAGTAAGACACTGAATGATTTATTATGTTGAGAAAACGAGTCGGTGAGCGAACAATTGTTTTTGGATATTCCTAGTCATGCCTTTACAATATCATATAGTGGAAAAAATTCTTCCATAATGATAGCCATTATTATTATTATTGTTATTATTATGTGATGTGATTGTGGGGCAATGAGGTACGTGGTAAGGATTCGACTTCCAGCACAGGACGTGCAGACAATTCAATGCGAATGGTTAAAGCTGTCATGCTCTAAGGGAGAGAAATTAAGTTCATGGCACACAAATGAATCGTGCCAAAAGCCAAACCATTTTCAGGGAGGGTACGGTAGAGCATAACGGATAAATGGGACTTACGACGTTCACGTTCCCGTAACCGCTTCAATTCTGCCTCGAACTCCATGTTGATTTGCTCTTGTGTTTTTTCATTTCTGCAAAATGAGTAACAGGGACATGAAAACGTTAGAACTGTAACTAATACACAAAAACCAACCAACATTTATCATCATCCAACAAGCACCTCCGAAGCCAAGCCAAACATATCCGGATTCACACACGAGCACAACAGTTGAGGATAGAGAACTAGAGCGTTTGCTCTTATCTGTGACAAGTCTCCAGACCTTCCCCTGAGTCTCTGCTATGGGTCCATTTGAACAGGTAATTTAATAACCCAATTTAGGGTATTAATACGGTAGACGAGTAAAAAACTTGAACGGAACATTCCTTTGTCTCAGTTTTTGATAGGAGAGTAGCAGGTGATTGATACGATCCAAAATGTTGAGCCCCGGGGACTTGGATTCAAATAGAAACACATTACCATTGAGTGGTGCGGTCGTTCCGCTTCAGAACCTCCATTACACACCTTTGGGACATATTTTCCACGAGGTTTCGGAGCACTTCCTTGTGGATAGAAAGCCACTTGCGATTAGTATACTCTTGGATTGATATACTTCGTACTGCTCATGAAACCCCATCAAATCGAAATCAGATGAACAGTGCTTCCTAGTGTATCATTTTACACCCTTTTGCCACCAAAATGATCAAGAGACTACATTCCAACAGTTACGCGGAAAAACTGGAATCACTGCAACTGTACTCCACACAGTATTGCCGCATTCAAGGGCACTGGATCTTGGTGTATCAAATAATGCAAAACCCAAATCATCCATGTCGTTCACTCTTTGCCTTGTCGCCTAATACTCACCCGAGGGGGAACTCATTCAAATTAGTGCTCCAAAAATGCCGGCGTCATTCATTCGCCCTTAGAGTGTGCACTACTTGGAATTCTCTACCGCCACACGTTGTTTCTGCGCCCATAATTGATTCCTTCAAGCGAAAACTGGATGAAGCTTTGACATGTCTCAAGTTTAAACATCCGCAGCAGTGCATAAAATAAGGATATTTTGTGACATTCGTCTAGTTTCTATGAACCGTAAATTGATTCATCTGTGCTAAACCCTATGGGACTAGAAAAGAAGCCGCTTGTTGGTATATCCCATAAAACTTTGAGTTTGCTCAGAATATGAAAAACTTCACTGTAGGACTGAATCCATCGCGACGAGACTGCACCTTGACTTGGTGTGATGCCTTGCGTGCCTGCAAGACCCTGCCAGCTATACCTGATGGCCCCTCAGCCGCAGATCCAATCATACCTGAAATGGCAAAGGGTAGAGACCAGACGAAGACCAGTCTCACAACTCATGTGGAAGAATTCGTCCACTTATTTTACTACTTCTCAGTGAGATTGAGGTTAGGAGCTGGACCAACCAAGTCCTCTAACAAGGTGCAAAACGCATACCGAACGTGGCTACACTGGCACTCAAGCTATCCAGAGAAGCATGCAACTCAACTCGATGTTCACTTGGCACCACAATGTCGTCTGCATACTCTAGACCAGACAGTCTGCCACTTGGGAGTAAATCGATACCGCCACCCTCACACGAGGATAGGGCTGTTTCCATAATCAAGTCACAGTTTCAGTTTTTAGTTTTTACAACCGTTAACCATGCACTTTCGCGCGCCGGTTTTGGTTGCTGTCTTTTGGTGCCCCGTTTGGTTAAAAGAGCAGAATGAAGATTGGAATGTTGAAAGCAAATTCAAGCGGGAAATGGAGAATTCGCATAGGATAGTGATAGGGGAATAATGAGTGGATACATGAGCGCCACTGTTTGCGACACCCAGCTATACAACTCAGTGTCTCTAACCATCGGTGACCATCATCCCGAGGTCCCCAGCCGGGAAGCCTAACGGGGCCTATGTGACCTAGTCTTCTGGTTAGAATTTCCATACCCTCATGCCAGGTCTTCGTTTGACCACCCTTTACCTTTTTTCCAACCGCTACCTGCCTTGGCAAACATCGCTCACCGCAGCAACCTTTCTGGTGACATGCGTAACACATGCCCCAACTAACGTAATCTATGCAGGTGGATCATTTGCTCCAGTGGGCGACCGCGAATGCCTAAAACTCTACGCCTAACCCCAGCATTGCTCGTCTGGTTACCCCACCAGACTCGTGCAATGCTACGTAGACAGCGGTGTTCGAACACTGATAATCTATTTTTATCCTGTTCCCGTAAAGGCCAAGTCTCCGCGCCGTAGAGCAGGACCGGCCGAACTGCTGCAGCATAGACTCAACCCTTCACAGATGCAGTTAATTTGCAAGCTTTTTGGACAGCTTGAATACCAGTGTAGCCATGTTTAGTATGCGTTTTGCAACTTCAAAGTGCAAAAGGGTGCCAATCTTAGGCACCCAGCCTCACTCTAACTGGAGAAGTAATAGAGCAGGTGGATAAGTTTTGTTATTTGGTCAGCTACATCTCACCCGGTGAACGCATCACGGATGAAGTGTCAGCTTGCATACAGAAGGCTCGGTTGGCATTTGCCAACTTGAGACATTTGTGGCGCCATCGCGAAATAATCAAATCTATAACAAAGTTAAATAGAAAGAGAGAGAGAGGGGGGACAACCCTGACGGACACCACTTGCTGTGGTGAACTACGGTGAAAAGTGCCGTAAGCTCGGACTCGAGTATAAAGGGATTGTAATATTGAAATAAACTTCTCGGGCACACCCCTCAAAGTGAGGCTGATCCAGAGTATAGAGCCATCGACTGATTCTAAAGACGCTTCCAGATCCAGGACGACAGAGATGGTGGGTCTACGAAAAGAATGTCAGTGCTCCAGAATTGGGTGAAGAGTGAAGATGTGGTCGATACAACCTCGGCCAGGTCTCAAACATTGAAGGATATGGCAGCGAACCGGCAGCAGTGGCGTTCTTGTTGTCGTTTCTTATCAAGTCAGAATG